GTAATTGAAGAAATATATAGAATTCGTTCATCTTTCTCACATGGACTTTACACTTTGCAAGAAGTTCAATACATTCTAGATATTCAACATATAGTGTTGATTTAAGAAAGAATTTAATCCTATCACCAAAATGTTAATAAAGTTATCAATCATATAGAATTCTTAAAAAGTTGAAATAGTTTGATGCTCACTTTCTTCGTCACATGCTTCAACAATTTGATCGAACACATAAGCCTACTGACCTTGTCAGATTATATATCTTTATTGGAATCATTAAACAACTAACTTCAAGCAACTCGGATTCCACCAATCTATGACACAAAAGCTTGTGTCATATTTGTCATTAAACCTCCCATCATATGGCTTCAAAACATCTTGTTCAGGGACGTTCTCGTCTCCAATTTGGCAGAAACAGACGTTGCGAGACATGTGTTTTGGCAAAGCATCGGCGAACGAGAAAGTCCAAACTTGCAATTAAGAAGACGACTCGTCCACTACAGTTAGTCCACAACGATCTATGCGGACCAGTTGAAGCAAGGAACAAATTTAAATACTTGCTACCGTTAACTAATGATTATACCCGTATTACATGTATCCCATTCATGCGTATCAAAAGTGACACTTTGCATCACTTCAGATAATTTGTTTTCCTTGCAAAAAATCTTTGCCCACACAAGGTAGCTTTTATTTGGCACACCGATTATTATTAAAATCCTGAAATCATTACACTTTGATCTGATAGAAGAGATGATAATCTTTTCAAGGAATTAAATTTCTACTATGAGAACAAAAATTTTCACTTGGTAGCACTTCACAACATCAACAAATTCTCACCAGAATGGTATTTCTGAACGCAAAACTTAAACGTTGTTTGAGGTTGTGTGTTGCATATATAACACAAACAAGTTTTCTTCCCATATGTGGATGGATCCAATACAAGATGTTAACTACGTGTTGAATCGTTGTGCCAATCGCATCCTCAATCTCACACACACCAGGCATTGGTATAGCCTGAAAACACACATGTGTGTGTGTTTTCAGGCTATACCAATGATTATAAATCGTACAATTGCTATGATCTAGTGATCCGACAACATTATCTCTACAGATGATGTAACATTTCTTGACATGTATCAGGTCATTTGTAGAATACCCACAAGTTCGTGGACCTATTCAATGGACTTGGAATTAAAGAGGAGACATCTGACGGATTGTTGCAATAAGAGGATGACAATTTTGAAGTGTATGCACCAAACGATTCAACAATCATCTTCACCAACATCACCATCTTTATCGACGTTATCAGCGTCACGACAAACAAATCCACCAAGCGACTCAACAATCATCTTCATCAACATCAATATCTTCATGAACATTATTTGCGTCGCCACAAACAAATTCACCAAGTGACTCAACAGTCATCTTCATCAACATCTTCATCAACGTTATCAGCGTTGTGACAAAAAAGTCTATTTTGCAGGGCTCCTGATCATGGTCCACGATGTGATCCTAGCGACAAATCAAAAGACTTGTTCAATTTTTGCCATATAACTATCATGTAACGAATCACCCCTTCCTCAACATAGTGGAGAAGTCACACCCTACCGATGATCAACTATCAGTGACTAAAAATCTCAAGAATCCTCTATGGAGAGTAACAATGTAGGAGGAGTTTGACTCTCTTATTTCAAACTTCACATGGGAATTCCTTAAGCTCCTAGAAAGCAAGCAAGCCTTCTTGTCTAAATGAATTTTCAAGATCAAACCTCAACCACATGCTATCACTCTAGGATCAAAAGCGTGTTTGGTAGCTAGATGACTCAAACAAAAGCATGACATTGATTACAATGAAACGTTTACTCATGTGATATGATGGCCAACTTTTCAAGCTCTTATTTCATTATCAGTAGCCCTTGGACGGAAATTACATCATGTAAATGTAATGACTGAAAAGATCAATGAAAAGCTGCACAAAAAGATATACATGAGACAATCATCCGGTTTTGAGCAGCAAGTCCAGTCATATCTTGTTTGTCTTCTCAAAAGATCAATTTATGAATTTAAACAGTCTTCGAGACAATGATACAAGAAGATTAACTCCCATCTACAATTAGTTGATTAGGTTTGAAGCAATTTTGATCCCAACCTCTACTTTCTTTGAGAAGGTAATAACATCACTATGCTACTTTTTTATGTGGATGATCTACTATTTCTAGGAAGTTGTTCTACATGTATTGCAAAGATTGAGATGCAATTACACCAATGTTACCAGATGAAGGATCTAAGGTATGTCTCTCGCAACCTCGGTGTTAACTTTCACACACTCCCTTACGGCAGTTTGTTTTTCCATCAACATAAATATACAGCGGAGCTGCTGAACAAATGTAAACTTGATCCCTTGATAAACGAACTAACTCCACTTCTAGTTGATCATGTCTTGGTTAGTTCAAAAAGTCTCTAATAATACTCTACCTCAATGCAAAGCATGCTGCAGATGCAAAGATGTGGCAGATGTATGATAGTCAATAGATGATCCACTAAACACATTGGCATATACACAAATTCTACTTGAAGCACGCTTCACATCACATCAAAATAAATGAAATCTAGATGTTAGTGTTGTGAATCGTGTTAACCCTCGCGTTGATCTCAAGGTAATCGTTGCAATTGGTCACATTAATAGTAGAATACAGTCAACCAAGTTGGAACTTCTAAGAAGTAATTATATGCTGCTAATATGACTAATATACAAAGAGTAACGTTGAGAGCGATGTTTGTAGAAGTTGAACCATGTCATTACATTGATAGTTTCATCCTCTTGATGACTGTCGAACCAAGTATTGTATGTCCGAAGAGGCTATACCAGTTATGTGAAGTCAGGTGGAGGATCTCGAGACAAGTTGCTGCTGAAGTTGGAAACAAACAATGTCCACGAGAGCAGAAGACACTTGAGAGTGTAATGGATCAAATCACAATCAGAAGTTAAATGGCAGCAGGTTGGATCTTGAGATACTGAATAGTCTGAAAATATTGTTCAGTGACAGTATCACGCAACTTAAAAATAGCAAGCTTCTTAGTTAGCATCATCCAACGCTGAGCATAGTTAGATTGATATAAAGTGCGCAAATACATCCACAATTCAAAAAAAATATCTTCAAACTCGGTGATGGAAGAAATAATGTCAAGAAAGACATGGGTCTCTATCATGGCAATTTCTTTAATATGAAGGTTGCGAAACAACAGCTACATCATCACTAGCACCAAGAGAAATCGGATTGAGAATTGTTTTCTTGTAGATTTATTTGTTGCGAAGCATGGTCTTAAGTCAAATAGACCAATTCGGATTGAGAATTGTTTTCTTGTAGATTTCTTTGTTGCGAAGCATGGTCTTAAGTCGAATAGAACAATTCATGTAGTTTGTGCGGCCCATGAGCTTTTTTTTGAAACATAATTGAAAGTCAGAGTTGTGGTGGTTACCGTCCATGGCGGCTGGAAAGTATTGCGCTATCTAGCGTGAGAGGAAGAACACTACTGTCAGTGTAAAAATCGAGACAACTTATCAACATTTGTAAACCGCATAGCATTGGAGCACTCGCTCTTATACCATGTTGTGAGAGAAGAAAAACTTTGTGTGAAGTATAAAACACAACATTTAAGTAGTTGCTCACTCAACACATCATTTGAACTTAAACTAGAATCAACGGACAAGTGGAGACATCTGACGGATTGTTGTAGCCAGAGGATGACAATTCTGAAGTAGATGCACATCAAATGATTCAATAGTCATCTTCACCAATATCAACATTTGACCTGAACCTAAAATCCACGGACAAGAATGAACTGTCTCCTAGATAAAGATCTACTGACTCACAACACTATGAAGTAGAATTGAACTCGGGCTCACTGTGTACCACGAACAATACAAGTCATGCATCTCGATAATCATATTGTGGTCATTTGTGCAAGTTCTTGACAAGAACGAGAGTGATCACCTCTAGTGGAGCTCTAATGCGACCAGGAGCAATGCAATGACAATCAACTATGCACAAAACGTTTTGGAATTCAGAAACTCTTGCAACCTTTCTTTGCACTGAAAGAAATGTTTCTTCCTCCACTCATACTACGTCGGCAGATATTAGAACATTGGTTACGGGTTCATGAGTCATGTCACATAGGGTAAAGTATACTTGATGAGTCCCATCAAGCTACTTGTCTTACAATGGGGTTCATCAAGTAATTTTCTCTATATATTCATTATTTGTCAAAACACTTTGTGGATTTCTCAAAAGAACATCTGGTCTTTTGACAACTAAAGTAATGGCAACTTTCAAAGTCTTTGCGAGGAGTAATTTAGTCAACGAATCTGGGTTTTTGCTTCAAACGTCACAAACCGTCTAGCTTCAATGATACCAAGAGCTGATAACGCCTTTTGCTGTTTCTGCTGGAAATGTATCAGGGCTTCACTACAATCCACTCGAAAGCACAAGTTGCTTGAAATGTACTATGAATCACTTCATGAAAACTGTATCATCGTCAAAGCTTTTGATCGTTTTAATTTGAGATATACAAACATACATGTAAGGCCTGATGGCAGAGGAAATTCTGGTCCGATACGATAGATGGTCATAGACCTTGGTCTATGACCATCTATGACACGAGGCGAAACAGAGAATTCTTCAATGTGAATCAAGGGGCAGAAGTCCTGACCCTACTTGCCACTGTAAGGTAGTATGCAGCGCACAGCGAGTATTATGATAAATTGGCCAGATTAACCTGCTATCTCGTAAAACTAATCAATTCCGAACACGTGTGGGATGTAAAGTATTACATAGGTGCATCTAAAGTGGGTTCATCCATCAGAAATAACATCTGACGTGCGCAATGGAGCCCGAGACATGATGGTCATAGTGTACGTAAACGTCAAATAGAATACGACGTGACAGAGCCCAATGTAGGAACAAAGTCCCTCCAGATTATGTGTTCACAGTTTTCTTCCATGCATTTACTCAGGCGTTTACTCAGAAACATTATGTTCAGAGCCAGAAAGAAGGTGTCCGCTGCTCTAGCATTCTTCTCTCTCCAGAAATAAATTAAATCTCTCGTCGATATACAATGAAAAGAGATCCATTTCATGATGCTATGTATAAAACGATGAGGCTCTAAGGCGACCGCACCTGGAGCAGTAGGTTCGGCATCCTTCATCTTACACGAATAGAAAGAACCTTTTCCAGCAGGGCTCTCTTATATTTACCCATTCAGCCTTGCACAACACAATTCACTACACAAACGCCCAAACAGGGATGCGTAGCTGTATGATATAATGTACAAATGTGCATGCTATGAAACAGTTTTACCTTCCTCCGAGGCTTCGATCGGCCTCCTCACTAACTCTCTGGTGCGCTTCTTCGTTAACCACGCTTCTAGGGCATCCCTGGTAACTATCAATCTTCCAAAATTGGTAGGCTTTCGGGCTATGAAGCTTGGTCCACGATCACCTTTACCTGTAAAGCCGTCTGACATTTCCTCGTCATCTAAACTATCACTCTGATCATCTTCTCCTGATGTGGATTGACTTTCAAAAACACGATGTTTCTCTTCCAATGATACTTTGCTAGCAAGCCCGTTCCTATCGTAAGATGTGCTCTCTGTGGCTGAAGAGGTTTGCACTGTCTTGCGAACTATCCGGATCTCCGTTGGGCCACAGGTAACGGGAAGACCCAACTCGTCTTGAAGCACGTGCAAGACAGCATGCCGAATAACAGAATTCCCTGGACTCTCACTATGTCTTCCGATGCCAGTAATGATGACCAGTCCGTCTTTTATCGGGTGGCCTGCATACATGTCCTCAATTGGAACCACATTAGCAAGGAAGCCAGCCAAAACATACCAACTCTTGTATACGGAAAAACCAGCGCCAGTAAATCTCTCTCCTAACAGCATGTAGTTTCAAGTAATCTTGCAATCTCCATCGAGAATCTTTGCATACCTTGGCTATAGCGCTCCTTGATAATGCGCAAAACAGCCAGTACTGCTATTCGGGACTCTCCCTGCATTATGCCATCTAAAACGTGAGCTGACTGACAAGTGATTTCATTCTAGGCCTCCACGATCGCAGGAGATCCCTCCATATATGTTAGAGAATCCTAGTGAATGACAGTGACAGATAAGGAAAATTCTCCGGCTAATATTACGACAAACTTCTTACCCTTGAGAGCCCGTGTAAATCGATCAGTTTAGGTTCAGGGTTTTTAGCCTGAGCATGCACTGCCACTTTCTGAAGCAACAACTGAGTGTATTCAGAAAAGCCAGCTGACGCTTCTCTCTGGTATTTTACAGAACTGGCTCTTTGCTCACTAACACCATCTTCGATCGCGCCTTCTGCCCACTGTTCCAGCAGCACTCTCAATATGCCATCATTGGGGGCAAATCTATCATCCACAAACGAATGAAATGTTGAGGTTAGATTGTCTCGAGGTCATTCATATCCACGATGATCATAGAATAGATTGTCGCGAGAAAGAAGTTTTCTCAAAGCTATGTATTATACCCAGCATCCCGCATCTCTTCATATAGTGCAAGGGCACGCTGGACCTCGCACAGCTTCCGGCAAGTACGTTGTGCCCTGAAAAGGGTGTTGTAGGTGACCTGTGGAAGGATAAGCAAGAAAGGCAGAAGGTTTCAGCATCAAAAGCCAATAGGCTGAACAAGATTAACCATCGGGTAATCGCTTCGTCGTTAACTGCAGATGACTTCATAAGCGTACAGGCATTGCTGTTGACATGCAAAACGGTGTAAACATCCCCACAGAAGTAGATGCAGCTGTAATCGAAGTTAAACGTACATATAATATGCTCGAATGGCACTCACTGCACAGATGCTATTTACCTTATTTGGCCTCAAACCGACCCCCTTAAGTTCACGAAAAAACTGAAAAGCCATGTCAGAGTCTCTGGCTTCGACACATGCCTGATTCAAAGTTGTAGTACAGACGATGTTAGCATTCAAACAACCGTGGAAATAACTCGAGCAGAGGCAATAAAATTATGAGGCAGAACTTAAAAGCGGGACATCCAAATACCTCCAATCCAACCAACAACAAGAACGAAATGCTACTAACAAATCCACAACACCGGGAGAAAGCACATGAGCTCCACACACATCACGTGCACCATAAGGTGGCGGGGTGTGCAAAGACATGATTGTCCGACGAAACAAAACGAGATACTAAATAAACTGATTATTCCTGACAAACAAGAGCAAGAATAAGATTCCTGCACTCACTTTGATGATTGATGTGTACGCAACAAGATCGGGAGTGATGCCAACATCTTTCATACTCCTGAATACCTGCAGACGATAGAACAAAAACCTCTCAATGAATCAAAGACCGTACAGGATGGTGCGTACTTATTGAATAAATTACTGTTGAACGCCTATCAAAAGTCAAACAACGAGACCCACGATGACTAGCCAGCTTGAGTTCAAATAATTCAGATAATTACCACAACCTTCAAGAAAGGGAAGGGATAGAGGTCAGGATATGCTATGTGTGTATCTAGAAGGTGCTGCACATGTTTCAGATTTTCCTTATAACAAAAAAGTCGATGATTTAGTATCTGAAATGCAAAAGCATGAAGCCTAGATCTGACTCGGAAAATTTTCTCACGCTACCTCCTATCGTAATAATTCCATCTTCAATCTTCACAATATATAACAGAGAGTGGTTTTATAAGCCAGAACTTTCCAGCAATACCTACGTTGATGGCCTCTTCCAAGTAGCCTTTACTACCATACGCGTCAATAAGAGTTGACCAACTGGTTCGATCCGGCGTCAGTCCAGCTGATATGATGTTATCCATTACTTCTTTGACCAACTTGGGCTCCTGACCACAAGCCTTCATCAGAGTGTTGTATGTAACCAAATTCGGCTTTGAGTGATAAGACCTCGTGGAAGACTTCACATCATCCTCGCAGGAACCCGATATTGACTCCTCTAGAAGAAATTCGCCAATTTGAACGGGAGAAAACTCTGAATCCTCGATTTCTCTGCAGGATAAAATTTTTCCCGTATTTTTCCACTCCTTGAATAGCAAGAAGGCTCTATCATGTTGGTTGGCCTCACAACAAGCATTTATCAGCATGTTGTAAGTCTGAGAATTAGGGGGACAACCGGCCACCAACATCTCGCTAAAAATGTTGAAAGCTTGTTCCACCATACCAACATTAGCACAAGCGCCCAGCAACGCTGTCCACGTAATCACATTGGGAGTGACCCCAGCGTCGATCATATCCTCCTTCACTTTCAGAGCCAAGTCCCACATTTTCGCTTCTCCAAAGATCTGTGAACACAGTATAAAAATAAGTATACAATGAGTATATAAGAATACAAATAAGTATTTGCCTGTGAAAGAGTGAAGACCATTAAACGTGCGCTTGCGCTGAGCGGTGCTACTTAAACCTGACCAGGCATTTGAGGGAGGAGTTCAGGATGAGAGATGACTAGTTGAAAGCCAAAAAGTGATCTCTCTTATAGTGGAAATTGCCGTAATAAATAATACTCGTTCAAAGCTTCCAGGTGTCAATCCAAGGGTCTAGGTTGAAAAACTTATAAACGGACTCCTTTCCACTGGCAGAGTGAAGTTGTGAAAATGTGGTACATGAAACCAGATTATGGGCATGGATTTGTCCTCTCTGCAACGTTGTGGAAGCTCCCGTTCTTCTCATCTCGTGATTGACAGAAATAAATCTCATCCGAAATTTGATTTCTAGTCTTGCACCAAGGGACCAGAGGAAGACATTTCTTGACAACCACGGCCTTAGGGCACATCGTGAAATAAGAGAGGTCATATTTACGAGTTACTTCCACTCTGGTCTGGTTCTAGTATGGCAGACTTCGCTCCCGATATTGTAGTATCAAAGGGCCTTAAGGGTCGCAGAAGCGTCCAGTTAGAACTCTATAACTTACAAGCTGGCGACGGACAACCCTAGATATTGATGAGCTGCTCAGTTCCGCACTGGACTGGACTATGCTCAGGACTTAGAACTGGAAATGCATGTTTATGCACTAGACTCTGGAATAACGATAAAAAACGTATGATGTAAACGACACATAATTTAGGCGAATTAGCAACCACGAGATTAAGAAAGGTTGGAAACGCAATCATACTTGAACAACGCTAATGCTCGCTAAAAATATCGGGAAAACGACAGAGGACACAAATACATAGTAGATCTGATTATCAAACGTCACATATGTGCTAGCTGAATACCATTCGTACTCAACTAGGACAAGTACTAAGGTGTACATACGTAATTCAAGGAACCCGTCAAGTAAACTACTTCATGTAAGCTGCTACGTCGACAACAAAAGGAGCAGAGATTGGACAGGTAACATAGTCCTTAGTTCCTTGGTATGCTGAAAAGGATTAATAGAATGTACATGAATAGCAGTCGTATAGGTAAAGACGTCGAGTTTCAGCCCTGTTGTAGCTGCCCCAGCCTCCATGTCACTGTACAGGGCCTTTGCCCTTTCGGCGCATTTCGAGACACTGCAGGACTTTAGCATGATGTTGTAGGTAGCCAAATCGGGCTCCACTCCAACTCTCTACAACCAAGTCAGATAGAGCTATCAGAAAATGACAGCCTCGTGCAGTAACTTGATGATACTGAAACAAGAGATAAAATAAGCATGCTCGCAGCAGGCTTGATCGTCCAAACTAACCCGCATATCCTCGTACAACTGCCACACGACCTCCGCGTCTCCAGCATGAACATTCATTAAACTGTTATAAACATAGACATTGGGCTGATTTCCGGACTGTATGATCTCCTGAATACACAAAGAACAGAAATGTGTAAAGTACGCAATAATGACCGCTGAAATAAGAATGCACATCTGGACACGAATGTAACTGCGAGATTAGTGTAAGCATAAATTAGTGAAAACCCCCCAAAACAACAAGATGCAAACCTTGAAAACAGCTGTAGCTTTCGAAGCATCCCCTTGATGAGCACAAGCATCTATCAAAGTTCGGTAAGTGTACATGTCTGGCTTTATATTCGCTTCTTCCATAGAGCTAAATATTGTGAATGCGGCCTGCAAGTTTCCTTGGTTACCGAATTCCTGTATCATGTGGTTGTAATGAAGATTGATGGGAGGCAACATACTGGCATATCTGCCAAAGGGAAAAAAACTTTGTCAAAAGAATGCGTCCTCCTTACCAACAAACCAAGAAGGGAAGCGCTTAGATCACGTACTAAAACAATGTTTTTGATCAAAAAAAACCCTTCACGAATATCACAATTGCATCTTGAACACTCAGTTCCCTGTACACGATCTAAACTCATCACTGCGTGACGAATGTTCCGTGTTATATTTAAGGGTGCCATCATGTTCTAGATTATTTTCGTCCTGGCAATCCTGGGAGACGAAGCATCAACTGAATGCAGCAGTCATTTATAAGAGTCGGATCCATACTTGATAGCAGCATCAACGTTGCGGGACCTAGCGCAACATAAAATAACTTGCTTTGTATCAACCACCTTTCTCAATAAAAACCCAGATCCTGCATTCATAAGCCGTGCATTTAGGCTTCAAAATAAACACGCTGAAAGATATGAAAATTGGTGCCACATCAAAGCCAAGGCTAATGGCTGATTGAAAGTGTTGTTTTAACTGTGCTCAGAATTTCTGCCGGTTCCACAAGCGCAGCTCATCCAGATCCCACTTCACACTTTAAGCTGAAGAGGAATGCTTGAGAAGACACAGAGAATCAACTAGAGTATCAACTAACTGTCAGGAGCATCGTCAACAGTTTGGCCTGATTCTAGAAGACTGTTAAAAATATACTAAGTGGCAAGTGAAGCAATCAGCTTCAACGAGTGCACGGTGAACCTTCCGGTTTCAATTTCAATTTGCTTGGTCTTTGGATGCTTGTATAACGATATCCTTAAAAGAAAAGTTACCTGATAGAGTCTCTAGGACACTGATACATCTGTCCAACTGACCGCGCATCAGCAGACTGTTGCACTCTTCCGACAAAAGGGCCATCGCTCCATCTCCCACAAATCTCGAAGCACAAAATCCAGCTGCATGCAGTTTCTTAACAAACGCCATAAAAAGATCCAACTGGCCTTCACTCAGGGCAGAGGTACAAGCGGAATGAACATGGTCCAAACTTATTGAGTTGATGAAATTGAAGCGATCGAGGCCTGCATCAGCAAGCATTGCAACAAGATCGGCCATTTCCAAAAGATGGCCATCTTCTGCAAGCCTCCCGGCCAATTTCGTGTAGTATTTCAACCTCCGCTTCCGTTTCGACAACATATGTACCTTCACAACATCTGCCTGGACCAATTTGAATGCGTCAAGGGACGATCCAAGCTGTATGCTGAGCGAATCCGACGAAGAGGAGGAGCCCTTCCAGAGATTCGAAGACAAAGGCGATATCGCAAAGAGACATGATGGTCGTGAGCTCGGCTTCAACGGAAGAAAAGTGGAATTCAAGTCAAAGAAGTTCGATCTCCGCCCGCAGCCAGAAAACAGTACCTGTGCTAACTCCATCTAGATACATTCGCGTTTGGTTGTCAGACAATGTAAACCTCTAAGAGAACACCTTGACAACCCTACCTCAGCACAACATTACCACTGAGCGCTTTTTCTGCCCGGCAGCTACAATGAAGTTCCAAACCTTCATCGTCATACCACCATTTGACCTCCTATGAAAGATTGTAAGAGGACATACTGAGAGTATCGGTTTCCGCTCTGGAATGTTACTGGAGGAAAAGTCTGTAGGGCATTCAAAGCAAGAAAGTTCCGCAAAGTATAATGGAGCGGCAGTATCCTAAGAACAGAGGACGGATAGACGACCGAAATTCCGGTCTTCCCTAAAACCCTGGCGTCGACCAGCACAAGCCCATGGCTTAATTACTTATCACCAGTTCCGCAGTGAACGCATCCTACGCACACTCTTCTTCTCTCGGGTCTCCCTTCCGGATTTTTAGGCGCGATCCCTCGCTCTAAACCTCGATTAAACCTTCACTGTCCATCTCCAGACCACGGACAACCTTCATCATTAGCAGGAAGCTACGTACTCGAGACGAGACCATTTTCAACAGAGGCCACCATGGCTGCCGATTGCTCTCCCGGCCTCCCGGAAATCCTGAGCTATACCTGTAGGTAAAGCCCGGGAGAGGAGAATGTCGAGAAAGAACGAGGGAACAGATGAACTGCAGTCAGATGAGATTCCCGGTCTTCCGTCGCTGGGTCCTTCGACCTACGGCGGCAGCACATGGAGCGAAAAGTTCGCGGGCCTCATGCACACGCACGACGAGTAGGAGGGAGAGGAGGGGATGCCACCCTACTCGCTCGCATCTCGATCCCTCCCGGTCCCCTTCCCTCCCTCTCGGATCAGATCGGAACGTCGATTTGGAATCCGCTTCGGGACGTTAGAAACGAGACCGGCGCCAAGGGACGGCGGACAAAGTTGGCAGAGCTCGACGAATGGCGCTGCCGGATAAGATTGCTCGCGCATTTTGGGCACGCGCCGGAGGCCCCCTCGCCCTCTACTTCCGTCGCTAACTTGGATCGGACTCATGGAAGCACCAATGGAGTGAGTCAACGAACCAACAATGCACAAGATTGAGAGAGTAAAAGAGACGGCGACCAATGGATGGAACAAAACAAGGAACAGGGAACAAAACGAAAGTGATGAGAAATACTTAGATATTAACAACGATTAAGAAGAATTAAAGATATGCTTTTGGCTAGCACCAATAGTATCGTGATGAAGTTACAGACTACATCACTTACAATATACTACTTCCTATCAATATTAAAACGTTCACAAAGAATATGAGCTTAGGATATAGTTAAACGATTACCATTGTTGAGTAATGTATTGTTCTGCCATTATTTATTACTACAAATTTGACAGAAAAGGGTTTATTTTACTTTCGTGTCCATGTTGTGTGTGTTGTCCATTTGGTGGAGAAATCATCACTAGGCAAGTTTAATTGTCACCATGAAGGGCAAACCAGTGTGACATGTGGTCATTGGTTTCTTCTTTCAACTCACAAAGTCTATCTAGCTATGTATCGAAATGTTGAAAAGGAAGAGTCAACAGCAACACGTTTGATCCTCATTTGTGCCAACAAGAACCCAAAAAATAGCTAATCTGTATTGAATTTGTAAATCATCAATTATAGGAGCATGAACACTTTTAGCTCAACTGTTGAACTTTGATATTCAATTTAAGTGGTTTCCAAACGTGACTCGTTTATTTGCTAATATGAATTACATGTTTCTAACACCATAGACACTAATGAATCATCATCATCATGTTAATTTGTTGTCTTGCAATCTTCATCATTATCGAAAGTTCTTACTTATTTTAAAAGATACGATGAACTACAAATGTGTGGTCAACTATCATCTTTCTTGTGAAGTTGTGATAGTTCAGATTTTTCTCAAATGGCTTTCAGCATTTGGCATTGCCTTAAGCATATTTGACATAATGATTGCAGTTATACTGCCTACTTTAGTTGCATATATCCAAAGCTTGAAGTAGACAAAAGTATCTGGCAAAAACCAATGTAACAAACATGTGATCCTGATAAATATAGGTTCTGTTGTGATTATTATATGTAAAAATGATGATAAAATTCTAAACGAAATTCTGCCCCATTTTTTAATATATAATCATTAATTATAAAAAAAATTTAATTGTATTCATTGTAATACAAAAATTATCTTGTTCATTATAATCATATCAAATCGAAATCTTTTTAAAGTACTATTGAATTAGATGAATTGTTAACATGTACAAGACATGAAAATAATAACTCACACCATAATGTTATTCTACTTATGTAAGTAGAGTTCCAACACTTTGGGTACATGGTATCATTTGTCCCACAAAATTTTTCTAAATTAACATGTTTAAAGGTTTATAACTAAATAAACATGTATAAGTGTGTATTTTGTGTTGAAATTATAATTTTATTTCAGTTGCTTATTTTTTAACATAATTAAAAATCTCATATACATTAACATAAGTTAACATAAGTTATATTATCAATAATAAATATAAAAATACACTATTTATTCTATATAATTTTAAAATATACAACAAGAATAAAAATATTTAGAAATAAAACGAAAATTATTATTATTATTTAAAATTTTCTATTATTTTAATAAATTACAACTACAATATTTACAAATCATATCATCATAATATTTTAAAATTTAAATATAAATTAAATAATACGATATTTTTTAGCTTGCCAACAAAATGTCAGCGCCATCATTAAATTATAAGCTTTGCATCATAAAAAATTTCTTCTAAACAATTACAGTCAACTATATGTGTCTCATCGCACTACATTACATACATAAGAATAAAATAAATTAACCTTTTTGTACTTTAAACCTTTTATCAACTTCCTTATGATGATAGACTAACAATTAAGTTGATGGGGGTCAAACTAATCTAAGTGGATCAAAATCTGAATAAACATGTGAAAATCTTATTTTTCTTTTTTCTTTTGATTCCATATTCATATATCATATTGTTATTTTGGAAGGAATTTATTATAAAACTTTATATATATAATTATATAAACTAGAATGAATGAAGATTGAATGTAGAAAAAAACCTGATTGAATATAATAAAAAATATGATTTATTTATTTATTTACATTTCATCTACTCCTTGTGCATAATTTGCAAGAACCACATTTTCTTTCCTAAAACTTTTCCATTTAAAAAACTTTGCTATATATGTTAGCTAGATTAAACTTATGATCAACATTGTTAACTCAAACTTTCACCCAAACAACATTGCTTATAAAATGTTATTTCCTATGGATGTGCTTAAATCATCATTTGATGTGCTGTGAGATTTAAAATATGTTATAATATATGTGTTAGGATTTTCCAAATATTTAATTATGTGATAAAATTATATTGAAGAACTAATTTTAAAAGACATTATTTTTTAAAATGAATTAAACTATACGGATTTTAAAAAATGTATCATCGACATTCAGATAATGTAGTATTTTAAATATATTATTTTGTTCAATAAGTGTCTTTTTTTATAGATAAAAATCTAAATCAATTGATTAATATTTTAGTAAATTTTCTATTGGGAATTTTTTTTTACTTGCAGTTGATAAAATAATTATACATTTGGGAATATTTTTTAAATCATTACAAAGTTTTTTTGACCAAAAAAACCTAATGTAAAGCTTTTTGTGTTATGATAAATTTGAGTTTGATTGGTTTAATTTTGAAGAAATTATGATTTTTTGGAAAATTAAAGATTGGTTTGATATTGAGATTCAGATCTACAATTAAAAGATTATGAAAGCATCACAAGGCTTTTGACAAACTTTTTTCAACCAAAATATCACTTACAACATGCTGATTGTACTAAGTTCAATTTAGAAGTAGATTGGATCAATTTTAAGTATTAAGTGATATTCAAGAGTATAAAAAAATATGCAAAATTGGAATGGATCATATAATAGTATAAAAAAGAAAATTTTTTTATTAAATTTTTTTTTTGGTTGAAACTTCTACAATACAAATTTTGAATATGATTTCATTTTTATATGAAGTTGAAAATTAATTGTAGAGACGGATTTAGATTTACGTTGGATCTTATACAGGGAGTCTACACATCATTTTGTGTTAAAATAAACTTAAAAGATTGGTTGAAACAATAGTTTGTAATTTGGATTGAGTTTTACACATGTAAATGTTCATATTACTATGTAACACAAGTTAAATGTCAAAGATAAACACTGGGTGACAAAATCTAGGAGGCCAAAAGCAAATGGTAAAGTGAAAAATCAAAATAAGCTATTATTTAAAGAGTTTAAGAGAGTACTTCACAGCTAGACGTTGTTAAAGCAATTTCATGTACATGTGACAACCTTAGTATCAACACTAAAATCAAGTTTTATATAAATTCAAATTTATGATTTGATTGTTACCAATCTAGAAGACCACAAAAATTGATACTCAATACAACATACATGAAAAATATGATCATTAACATTAGTAATTAAAAGTGTTAATATATACAAAATGTTTGGACCTACATCATTTGAATATATTTGTATGGAGTTTATAATATTTTATTAATTATTAAATATAATTGGATAAATGAAGATGAACATTAGTAGACAATCATAAATAATCATCTCTTGGAAAGTGGAAAACTGTTTCACGTACAGAAAACTTTGTTGTAAAATTTAACGTATTGTATACAATTTCAGCTTATATATTAATAGATTTTGGTTTGTTATCTTCAGGATATGTACAGTAAATAATGCATTATTACCCATGTGAAAATGTGACATGTAGCTTTACCCATACTCTGTATACAACTTCAGACCACTTATAAAATGTCACTTGTTCAATTATGTGGTAACGAGTAGTTAGAGAGGTGCAGCAATGGGTTTCGATCGTTCGCAACTGATTATATCTTAATCCATAATCGCATATTTTCCATTCATTAACCACATCCACTGCGTGGATGTGGTTTCTAATACTTGCATGTTATTACCATTCATTCCAATCATCTATCTCTGCGTTAACGCTCCATACTGATGGAAGCGACAGGGGCTCTTAGTTAATCAGCCTCTTTGTTATGGAGTCGGCGGAGCGTCCGTACTCTTCGTAGTTGAGGTGGACAAGCTACCATCCTCCAAAAGCTTTAGGTGGAATTTCGCCGGAAGTAAAAATTACCGTCGCAATGCTGATGTACCGCTGGTGGAGTGCTGGACTTTACTTTCACCATGGATAAGATTTCATGTTACTGTATGCCTTTACGTTTACGTCATTCAAGAAGCGACAAAACATCATAACATTTAACACCACAAAGATTGTGATTAGGCAGTAAAATGAAAATTAAATGATCAAAAGAGAAGAAAATGTAAAAATACGATACGAATTACGAAGTGGATGACTTATTGACGTACACAGTATCGAAGGTAGCACCCGTTTGCGCAAGTTGTCGAGTAGACATTGTCCAGGGGACGAGCGTGACCTGCGCATGTGCTAAAGGGAGAAAACATCCAGATTTGTAGAATCTCGATCCCAGATGCGTCTGAACAGTGGCGGGTCCGTATCGGAGTACATGTGACCACTGAGTTGCACTGCATTGCATTTCACCTGATTGTCGACCAGGGGGAAACCTTAAACCCTAATTTTCTTGGACATCGATCGAGTTTGGTTACGTGCGGATGTGAGCTTGTATGGGGAGATCGTGAGAAATCCAAAATGAGCTCTGATTCTTCAACTCCGCTCTCCGATATGGCCCAGGTACTTTGTTTCTGTACATTTTGTATAACTTGTGCTGATCTTTCGATCGAATCAGGGCCCTATTGCCTTGAGTGTCTCGTTGCGAAGGGATTGGAGCTTCTTGAAATAGCTGGCAAGGCACGGTAAAGTTTCGTTTAGAGCTGTATCGGACGTCTATGGAAGAGGTGCGAGGTAGTAACCGGACAATTGTTGTGAATAATGATCGGGCAAGACCAAATTTTGTGAGGGTAAGAACAATGCAAGACCAGGACGGACAATTCAATTGAGGTGCTTCCGAGAAATTTGAGTCACACTTCGCGCTGCGACTAAATCATGATGCAAAACAAGAACACCGTATAATTTCTGGATGGGAAAATTTATAACTTCTGGATGGAATCAAAGGTCGATCTGTTTTATATTTGGAGATCCTAGACAACGCATATTCTTTCACGTACATATAAATAAATATTCATTTGGTCACAGCTGGACCGAAAATCCACGAAATGAATTCTAGTGGAAACTTGAGGTCTACAGTCTTGTTCATGGTCGAGGATGCCTCAGTTGGGCTGATGAGGTCTTGCATTTTGCGAGAGCGGATAGATGCACCGCACTTTCTTCGTTGATTACATTCTCTGAATTCCTATCCAAGATCTACAGAATCTAGGCTAGCATTTTACTCCCCGATGCCCTCTGGCTTTTTTTTCCATTTTACAGATCCTCTGCATCCTTGGGACTACAATGCGTCATCAGCGCACTTCATTGTCCACTTCGTCTTGCGCACGTTTTTTTGTTACCTGTTCATCAACCTGTGTTCTGTCGAAATATTTTGTTTCCAGCTTCTTTCATGCATGATTTCGGTCATCTTTTTCTCTTGCACTTGACCTTGATTCAACGCTCTCGCTTACAGCTTCATGAACGTTAATCTACACCTGTACCTTTCATTTTGCATTCACTCTTGTGGAACTTGCTGTTTTTATAACAACTTTAATGATACCTCTATGATTCTGCTGATTTTTAAATAGGTTCTTCGTCTTAGCTACCTGAACGCCTTTCTTTCCTTTTCTTTTCATTGTTTGCCTATACAGATCATTCGGAAGGATATATTAGTGCTTTTATCTTTTAAAAAGTTACGTGTTTAAATTTGCTATAGAAAAGATGGACAGAATTCTGATAGTGAGGGTTTTTTGTTTTGGAATGCCTGAAATTTATAGTGTCAGATGTTCTTGTGGCCAAATTTTTTTACGACTGGATGGTCAGAGTTAACGGTTGCGTATCTATGAATGTTGTAACTAGTTTAAGCGATTTTTTTTTCAAACCCGTCATATGGAGGTTCGAGTCTTTGAAGTCATATATGCTAAGACCGGAATATTGGGCTGAAAAAGCATGTGCCTCGCAATTGATGTGTTAGCCTTTTGAAACGAAACCTTTTGAGTCAGTCTGTGTATCCTGCTGTATTGGTCGTTTCGAATGTCCTGACGAACTCACGTTTTCTGCTTAGTGTGAGGCTTGTGGAGAATTTACTTAATCGGAGACACGGCGGGAACATAGTATTATAGGAATAACTGTTTCAAGCGCTTCTTGACATGGCTACCTGGGGGACTGTATTGTGGTCAGATGACGGATGATGACACGCAGTCAAGCTTAGAGAAAATAAAGAAGCGTCTTGCGAATGCTTCTACCAGTTGCATCATGGAAGGCTCTCTGTTGAAGAGATCTGAAACTGTGAGTCCGATACTACTTACGCAGCCTGAATCCAAATTTTTATTTCTTGTGAGCTCTTTCATTGTTCCGAATGAAACTGCTCTTTCGTTTCAATTGACTATTATGCTAAGCAGATATCCAGTTCATAGCGAAAATGACTTCCGAGTACAAGAAAGCTCATAATGTCTCAGACGCTATCAAAGGACTGTGACTAACTTGAATAACTTCTGTGGTCAATATAAATATTATGAACCTTTAACGTTTATCGCAGCTGCGGAAGTGGAACCAACGTTGGTTTACTCTGGATCCAGCAACTGGAAAGATGGAATACAGGCAAGTAGCTTCTCCAAAGAAAATAAGGTTGAAAATCTCTCTGCGTAGATTCTTGTCTCGTAGGAAGTCACCACTACAATCAGACTTCTCGATGCTAACCTCTGTCACCATTTATTATCAGGTTCCAGCAAGGCGATTCATCTCCAAGGGGGTTGATACACTTTGAACCGGAGAGCACAATAACATTGTCCCCAATCAACTTTCAGTAAGAATACATTTTAGTGTGAAAGATTTGAAGGAGATGAAATTTGTAACGTCAAAGTGTCTTTGGAAAATCTGCTATTAGGAGGTAGTAAGTTCCAGCTGAATTTAAAAAAAAATCGTTAGAAATAACTGCTTAAGACAAGATCTTAATGACATGAGAGACTATTTTCAGATCTAATATGCTCGAACTAAGAATTTTAAAAGAGTTTTGTGGTGTAAATAGTGGTTGATCTACTCTGATTGTCGTGATCTGTGCAGTGGACTGAGAAAGTACGATGGTTGCTGCTTTTGTATCCTTGTCAATTTATCCTTAGAAGAGTTTGTGCGATTCCGTAGTCAAGTTCGGTTTTTCCCTCTCCTTGTTAGGGCAGATGCTTTGTGAACCATACAGTTACTGTGTATCAAAATCGCCAGTGTAGAACCACAGCTCATTCAAACGGAAACTGTCGAGGACTCTCAGATTGAGCTCATTGGCTTCAGCTTAATTCTATCGACTAGATATCGGTTCTCCTCAAAAGAAGGAGTATTATCTGTGTGCAGAGACTCCAACCATCGCCCGAGCCTGGGTTTCAACGTTGAGGTAGGTTCTGACTGAAGCATGTATGTAGCGATATGTATTTTAGTACCCACGTTTTCAGCCGTCTCAGTGGCTTTGTGGAGATCATTCCTTGAACTTTCTCTTCAAGAGGTAGATATATTTTGAACTATCTCATATATATATGTAGTTCAGTAAAGTGTCATGTTTCACGTTAAGCCTTGTGGTTTATTTTCGTATTTTCGTCTCATGGAACCGACTTATATAAAATCTTGCATTTGATTCGTTAAGTTCTCTCCATGGTGAATGATTTTGCTTGCACTTCTTATTCACCATTATGAATTCAGAGCGGCAGCTCTAGTTTTGAAGGCACACAAGGAAGCAGTTGATTCTTTGAGTGGGAACGGACATGCAAAACTGGGAACGGTTGCTGCGGTAGTTGCAGCAGCCAATGCCACCGCTAGGGAGGGAATGAAAGAGATGCATATGTCTCTGAAAGAAGCTGTAAAGCCAAGTCCTCCTCAGCTAAGCCATACGCTTACAGATGATATGTCAAACGTCATGAAGGTAACATGTACAACTTCTTTTGGGAAACTTAAATATGTCTTTGCTCTTTAACTGCTCAGTTTGTTCTTTCATGTTTACTCATTGTATGCTTACTTCTCTGCTTTTTTTGTTTTTTCGTCCGTTTCATTGTTTGGGAACTTAGCCGTGCACGTTTTTTTGGCGGATACTTTTTTTTGTAGAAAGTGAGTGTATCCCTTTCGTATGTTGAAAACGGTTAAAGTGTTCTTTTTATTAAAGCAAATGATGTTCTACCCTCGATGATTTAACTCACATTTTTTTCATAATTGAATGGTGAGTGAAAGATGATTTTTGTAGCTTATGCTATCGTTCGAAGAGCCGAGATGTCCGTTTTGCCTCTGCAGCGTTATGGCCCTCAGTCTTAGTAGTCTTGCAGCTATAGCATTCGTTTAAGAGTTCCTGATTCATCTGACATTCCATTCTCATCTGAACGATGACTCACATTTATAGTTAATGCCAGTTTTTGAACTTTTTCTTCAACTTTTAGGTTGCTGCAAGCATTGCGTTACGTAAGATATATAACACTAACGGAACTTTTATATGCCAGCGTCTGCTACAATGTTGACTCAAGTAGCTTACTTGAGACAATGTTGTAGCAGATGTTGGCATACGAAGTGCCTGCATGTCGGCATTAAGTATTTAGGAAGATTGTGTCCTTCTGTAATCGGTGTCAATAGTGAATGCTATGTACCAAGGTTCTTTTTCATGAGAAGACATGGCAAAGGATGTTCTACACTCGATGATTCACCTGATACTCCATCCTGAAGGGATTGGTGATTGTGAGTGAAAAATTTCGTAGCTGATGCCAGTCGTCTGTGTTATCATTCAATAAGAGTGCTGTCAGCGATGACAGTCAAATGTATTTCGGACTATAGATCACACACTCCATTTCCGTGGAAATGGAAGCTGGGGCCGACGACGTTCATAGCCATTTCTAGAATTCAGGTTGTCACGGGGCAGCCGTGACAACCCCAACCCTAAATCCCTGTTTTGCACTGATGGTCAACCTGAGACTTCGTTCTCATGTGGATGTAAATCGAGAGTTAACATCTGTAACCGATGCCTTGTTGGCCTTGTAACCGATGCCTTGTTGGCCTTGCATCGTTCAAGTTTTGGTAGTGTTAAGAGAGCAAAATAAGCATGGCGACACGTTACATGCACTACCACTTAAAACTTTTTCTTTTAAGTCGAATGCCAGTATATTTACTGGTTAGTGTACTTTGACATTGCATTGTCACTGCCAGTTGAAGGTGCCAGGCCCTTTCAAGAGTGTTTTAATGGAGGCCGCACGCGAATCAGTGGCATTCAGCGATTTGTAATGTTTGATCTAGATATAGCGAGACTTTCCGCGTAAAAGAGGAAATAGCTTCTAGAGAATGTTACGACGAGTTGATGGTATGATTAACAGATGCGAGTTTTTAGGAGTAAAAGGGTTTTTGGTCTTGTGATTGGGGAGATTTGAATCGTGCACAGTAGCTTGAAGCTAAAACCGCTCGAGCAAAACCGTCGTTGGATCTTTATAATAGTGGTCTGAATTTTAGGTCATGATTTTTCTTTCAGGAAACTTTGAGAGTTAAGGATGAGGAGCTGAATCAAGTTGCGAGAGATTTGAGAGCTCGTGATTTCACTATAAAGGAAATGGCGGATCGTCTCTCCGAAACTGCTGAGGCTGCCGAGGCAGCTGCATCAGCGGCGAGGGCCATGGACAAGGAGCGAAAAAGCGCCCAAGCGGAGTTAGAGCGTCTGAGGAAAGAGTTTGACGACAGGTTGTACCATGCTGCTCGTGAGGTATTTGCATTCTCAAATGCTGATATATGAAAGTCTTTAAATTGACAAAATAATTTCTTTTACGTTGGCTCGCTGCGCTCAACATATTTGTAATTAAATACAAAAGCCACGTTAGTAGGTTTCAAAATTTGCTACTGGCTTCTCCTTCTTTCCTGTCACCGGTCATTTTCGTTCTTCCTTGACAGTGTAGACTTCAGCATATTAGTGAATCTCGATGCGAATGGTAAAGGTATTCTCGGCCCTTTGCTTCGGCAATACGTAGGAATAAGGGCTTATTGTCAAAGTCTTCGATGGTTCTATCCCAGATGATTGATCCAGAACAATGAGTGACGTGCTTGGTAATGAGTTTTCATGACTGTGCTTTACTACGTGGGATCCAAAGAGGGGTGATAATTGGCACAAGACCCCATCCCATAGTCTCATGCCCCCTAAAACTGGCATAGTAAATTGTGTAGTATGAGCCTTGCCCCTTGCCAATGCAAACGAGTAATCAAAGATTTATCTTTGAGATTTTTTTTATGCTTTTCTGTTTAAGGTCAGAGCAGGAGAAGAAAGACTAAACGAGGCAATGAAAGCTAGAGATAATGCCCTACAAGAAGCTCAGAGATGGCGAGTTGAACTTGGTAAAGGGAGAGAACAAATTGTCATGATGGAAGGGGCCTGCGTGCGGGCCGAAGAAAGTGCCCGAAGAGCAGCAGCAGATGTTGAGGAGAAGGTCAGACTTGCCAAAGCGAGTGAGATGGCAGCGTTGGCGGCAAAAGAGGAAGCCTTTCACCTTGCAAAGCAGTGGCAGGCACAAGCTGAATACTACCGTGACCAGGCTGCCAGGTCTGTCATATGTTATCTGATCAGAGATGTCCGAAACTCGTGACTGCTTTACATTCGACAACCGTGTTGTATTTTCGTTACTTTCATGAAACGTAAGCCTCTCTGTAGCTACCATGTTGAACGTAACTTCGTTTGGTGTGTTGTATGAACTGTCGCAACTGCAGGTATCTAGCAATACTGCAAGAACGGGATGCGCAAGCACAGGCTCAAACGGGGAAGAAAGAAGAAGGCAACAATGTGGAGGTATCAGAAAAATCTGATACGGAAACGCCTGTCGGGGTTTCAACACCTGATAGAAATAATCCATCGTTTGTCGATACGGGGGTGGACGAGGATGATTTAATCTATAATCCTATAACTCCCGAATTATTAACTGCTGGTTCTGGTTCTGCCTATTCGGATACCGAACCTACTATGGATCCTGAACTGGAAGCTCCTGTTCCAGCAACTGTTGACACGGTCTCCACTGTTGACACGGAGATCTCGAAGTCTCCGGCGGTTGAGAATGCGACAGAGGTTTTAAACACAGCACCCTCTGAAGTTGTTGCGCCAGGAATTTCAGTGACTGAACTGTCCACACCCAACTCAGGGCTCCCGTTAGAGGTTCCGCAGCTCGAGGAACATTTGGTATCCAGATCGGAATCAAATTTTGTGACACCTGTTCCCAACGAAGTATCTACACCCCAAACCAGTGGTGAAACCATAGACATACAAACGGGCAGAAATTGATTTGTTTTGTAGGTAGTATCCATCGTCAAGACATTGGCCTCATATGGGGCAAGAGCTGTACATATCCCGGTGGCTTTCCTGATGAGCCGATTCGTGAGTTGCCTTGCGTACTGCGTACGTTTGCCTGTTCCCTCCGTGGACGGTGCAGCATTCTCTTAAAGGCTGGTCAGATTTATAAACTACAGCGGTCATGGGAGCTCCACGATATATATATTTATATGACAGGGTAAAAGCTGGTGTTACCAGTCAACCTGTGACTTGGACAAGTTTGCCAAAAAGTTTTCTAAAGCTGTTCAATGCTTGCAACAACCACAATTCTACTTCGATGACAATCAAACCGTGGTAAGGGCTGCAGCCGTCTATGGAAGTTCAAAGAATCACAGGGTTCATTGAAGAGAGAAACACTGCTTTTTAGACATTGGTCTTCTCGAATAGGGAACTGTGTTCAATAGACTAGGTCTTGGAATGTTAGGAGTATCCGTTGGTTATCCATGTTTCACATGAAGTGATTCAGTAAAAGGTCTGTTAGAAGGGTAGTCCTTGACAAGTTGCCTTCATGTGGTAAAACTTGTCTCAGCTGTGGGGTATTTTAACCTATTGAGACGTGCAGGTTTCTTTTGCTGTGCGATTTCTTCTAATGTTGTTGATGTCAAAGTGAAAACAGAAGTGCAGAAAAGTTTGGCCGCGGGACTAGAAAGTCCCGGAATAGTTGGTTCCCCGCCAACTGACTGCTGTCTTGTGTCGAGTTGCGATTGCAGTAAAATTGTGGGATACTACACACCTGTTGGTGACCACGCTGGAAGTGTTGCTTTTGTACAATTCAAACCGTTTTCAAGTCTGTACTGTGCCGTCCGTCGATGCTTTGAAGTGTGCTGTAATTTCTGTCAGGGTATGCTTGTCTATCTCGACTCGAACTTCGTTACGATAAATGTATGTCAAGAGAGTTTACACTACGTCCGTTCCTCATTAACAAGTGGCTTGAGCACAAATCCCACAGAGTCTTTCCTTAACGGCGGTATTTCAAGTTTCTCTGACTGTTGTAGTGCTATTAGCCGAGTTCACTGGAAAGGAAGATCTGCATATGAAATTGGTTGGCAGATGACTCTCGAAAATGCTTGCAGGCGATAGGATGGTAAATTCTTGGTATGAAATTTCATGAAAGCAGGCAACCGTTTATACTTTGTTGAATGGTCTATTTTGTGAGTACACGCACTATAAGCAATTTGGGAGGCGTCGGACGATGATTTCCTGATGAGTAAAACTTCCTCCACTGCCCTCTTGTTATAGAGGTTGGTTCACGAGACTGCTTCCGGGGTTGAAATCAGATCATGAATCGTTTGTGTATCAAGTAGCGAACTGTGCGGATTCCCCGTGTTCTTCACATGTGAGGGACGTCCAGATCCAGTGGGGACAAGATAAGGATTGTGTTGCCATATAGTTGGGAGCCTTTTTTCCTGTTGCACCAGAATTCTGGTGTCCCAACAACTTCAGGCTATGTTGTTATGCATCAAACTGCGTGTAAAGGGCACGTTCACAGGAAACAATCACCGTCGTGATATACACTTCGGGGTAACAATAAACCTGATGTGCCTATGGCCAGCTGGCGGGGCCGATTTAGCAGAGGTTGATGTGTACACTTGTGTCTGAGGCCCCTAAACAGCTCTGGAGTAGTTAGAGACATTAACAACTTGGTTTCTGGTCCTACGTCCTCTCGTGTGTGTGCTATCAAGATATTCTGTCAGATGGTACGACCTTACTATGGCTTCCCCGTTATGAGAGTACTTGTTACAGGTACAACCAGTCGGTACGAGTGTTGCTCTTCGTGCGTGACTACGTCCCTTCCATTCAGGTGTCGACCTTTTCACCAACATCACTCGCAAACATTAAACTGGATAATGCTGCAGATGCTGTGCTGCCTGGTATGTCGTACAGAGGACCCCAGCGCTTCCCATTATTAACAAGCCTTCGGATGGTCCAAAGAAAGGCCTTCCAAACCTTCGATAATTGTGTCGATAGGAAGTCGTATCCGAACCTTTTTGGAGCTTTCTTTGCTTTACGGGGAAGGGTAGTTCTATCTTCCGTTATCCTAGGACAAAGGTACCATGTTTCCATAATCTTTGAAGTACAGAATAGCTGATTGATCACTCACAGTAATGTCCTCTCGAAGACTACCTGACTGCTCACCAGTGAAGCATTCCGTCCAGATCTGTACGGGGTTCGGTAGTGAGCCCCATCGTCTTTGTCCCACCGTTCCAACTCCTTACCTGTCCCACACAATAAATTAACTACTCTAAAGATGTGATCCATCTATAGAGTAGTCCGGCTGTCGTCGAAGTCAGGAAAGACAAGGAATTTTCTACCCTCTTTCTCCGTCAGAAAGTTCAAGCTCTGATCTTCGAAAATGCGGTGAGAATTGAGGAGAATTGAATGGAGGAGAATGTGGCCAAAACTTGAATCCATGAACTCTTTGGCCGTCCCATTTGGAGAAAAAAGAGACAGAATCGAGACCCGGTCAATGGGACCAGCAGCGAAAGGACGACCTGTCAAGGATGTATGCCCACACAGTGAACTGTGATTGGCAAGGGCAAAAGGGAGAGAGCGGTGAAGTCCAACGTTGAAGGCGTTCCAGCTCCACGTAGTCCACGTTTGACTGGAAACGACGACCAAAGGGAGCAAGCAGGCAGGCAAGGCAGGCAGGCCCCTGTGCATGCTTGTCATGTTGTTGATAGAACTTGGGGCCCGGGCAGGACAGGATCCTCGAGCATCATCAGCGAGCGCCGGGCTTTGTTGCTTTTGGATGTTGGACTCTGTACCGAGTCCTCGGAGCAGATTTCCGAACAGTGTCTGAATTGGGTATAGGCCCAACCGTTAGTCCCCCTCTCCCCCATCTGTCGTTAAGCCAACTTACTTTACTCAACTCAGATCAGATCAGCTCAGCTCAACCATCCGTCGGTCACGGACGTTGGTCTCTATTGAGCGAAACGATCCCTCAAGTAGCATTCAGACTCTTCATCCAAATGCGCTGCGAAAAACTGCTTCTCGACAAGGTAAGGACGATCTGATTCCTCTCTCTCTCTCCCTTCGCCTTCGGACCTTTAAAAACCCGTCGACCTACGACTGACTCCGAGGAATGGATCTGGAAGAAATCGCATCAATCTGACCTGCCCCGAGGTGACCTGAGCTGCTCTGCCCTGCCCTGCCTTGAGCTCAGCAGCTCACGGCGGCTGAGAGTGTGATGGACTCTGGAGCAGCAGCAGCAGCAGAGATGGCTTCTTCTCCAGGCAGCGACCGATTGAACGATAGCTGCTTGTGTGGCTGCGTCCGAACAGAATCTCTAGTTACCCAGCACAGATCGGAAAACTGCTCTCAGCTCGCTCCCCCAGTCGTCCCGTCCCGTCCCATCAATTCACTTCCTGGAAAAGAGCGACGGCTCTGTGAGGCTTCCGCTGTCTTCAACAAATCTAACGACGTAGCGTAGGGTACAACTGCAGGGATGTCGAGCGCCCGATCCATCTGCCTAAACGGTCCTTTTGATCCAATCCAATCTAATCCAATCCAATTCTTTTGCGAAGCTTTGGAGTGAAAGGGCTCATCTCCACAACGGAACAACGGAACGAAGACGACGAGGACGATTATTTGTCGAGTGTCGAGAAGTGGTGAAAGAGACGAACGAGTGGACCGTACTATGTACTGCGACCATTTCGGTGGCCGGTTTCGCCTGCACGATCATGGACGTCCTGTACGGCAGCGAGGTGGAATATTGATCGATGTGCGAGATTGATATTGATGTGCGAGATTCGGCCTCGGAGCCTCGGACTCGTCGTCGAGATGCAGCCTCCTCCTCCTCCGAGGGCGCACTTGGTTCCCCCACATCCTTCGGTGCCCAAGCTGCCTTGGTGCCCGCCGCCAGCACCACTTTCTTCGTCGCCGTCCTTCGCAATCTCCAGAAGAGCTCTCTCCCTCTCTCAGAGTCTCGCGCTCCTTGTCGTGCTCGTTGCCGTAGGTTTGTTCCCAATTCTCAGTCACGAACACGAGACGAATTCGGAGAGCAGGAGAAGGAGCTCGAGATTCACGTCGTAGCTGCGGAAGAAGAAACGAATTTCTGCTCGATCCCAAAAAGCTCGCTACGCCCGGAGCATCGACGATGGCACAGCAGCTCGCCGCTCACTCGCACTGCGCGACGGAACAAATTCCGTTGTTGTTAACAGTGATCGAGTGCTGGCCGCGGATGGCCCAACTTCTCGTCTCGCTCCTCCCTCGCTTTAGCTCCTGCACCACTTGTCATAATATGGACGTCGAGCACGATCTGCAGGGCAGAGCGATGCCGATGCTGCAGCTGAAGCCATCGATCGACGGCCCTGACCTTTCATGAACCATCTCACAAGCCTCACGAGCATCATCGGTACATCCATAAATCATGCCGGTGAAGTGCAAAATCTCCCTGGGGCAGGGCAAGGCATGGCAGTCCCAGCCCAGGGGACTGTTGTACAACTTTCCCTTCGCTGTCGACGGGTAATGACGGGCATTGCAGCGTGGAGCAATCAATCCAGGAGTGAATGCCTCCATAGCCCGTATCTCGTCGCGTGTGTCAGCTCGTGTCCCTCCCTCGTCCTTGAGCCTGAGCTCGGTCAGTGGTCCGGTCCTGCTTCCAGTCGTAACTGCTGCAGTTGTGACAGCGCCCCGTCGTTGACATTGTCGCCCCCCCTGAGACTGGCACCGGTACTTAATATTCTTGCCATTCTTTTAATGCTCGGAATTGCTGGTGGAATTTATTAGTGCCCACGGAAAGCGTTGCTCGTCCATGTGCAAATGAAACCATGCCACCCATCGACATTGTGCACACGGCTCTCGTGGTCGCAACAGTGCCATGCACACCGTTACCAAAAGCGCGGTCGCTGGTTTCAGATTCTCCGTGCGCTCTCGATTCACCTTCCCGTCATTAACGTGAATGTTCCTGTGGAGCAGATCAATGTGTGTACTGATATTATTTGAGGGGGAGCAGGAACGGCGGGTGCACATCTGCACCGTCAGGAGAGGGGCACGGTTCGACATTTGCCTGCGATGTTCGCGCATTGAAGTTCAGCTTGTCGAGTGGCTGAACCTGTTGGGGATTTGCGTACATTGTTCGCATGATAGAAGTCTTCAAATCATTGACTCTGAAGTATGTGCGGACCTTTGTTTATCGAGCGCGTGGTCAAGCTAAGTCAGGCGGGATGGGGTGGGTAAATCGAGGATGGCAATGATGAAAGTGTGATCTGGTCTGGTCTTGAGGCAATCGAGAATTCTCCAGCCTCGTCTGATCCCGTTCTTCCTGGATTCTGAAAGCGTGTAATATCAGACCCGCTTAATGTTCAAAAGGAGCAGGAAGCACCGAGTCAGGAGGTGCTGAGATCGAAGCGTAAAGAGAGATCAGAGCTTTAATTCTTCAATGCCGCCTGCACCTGGAGATGGAAAGCCTCAGATGCAGTAAACGGCGGTGAAATCTTCTGACACAATGTGCGATGATTACATTCACAGGTGTACAGACTGCCTGCCGATGCTAATGATCATCGGCTTTTCTCACTTCGGCCAGTAGTCTCGATATGCGGTGTCAAAACCTGACGTACAATATGTCAATATTCTATGGGGAAATGCAGACATTTGTGCATTGTTGGATCGTCTCAACAACCCGCTTGCTGCAGACGATCTCCATTCCCAGGTAGTAGTAACAGTCTGAGGGTGGTGCGATAGGACCTCAACAGGCCAAAGTACGAAGTCTTTCGACCATACGAAAAACGACAACCTGAAAAACGTTATACCAAGTTCCACTGAGGACGGACATTCATTTCTCAAGCTGCTGAAAGCCATCGTCAACAACACAAGATTGTCAATGGCAATTATCTGACGAAAACGAGAAAATATGCACAGCTTGGACTTTATTGGCAAAGGTTTTCTTCAGCCAGCCAGTCGGCTGAAATGACAGATGGATATTCTATCATAGGTATAAGATTTGTTCCAGCTTTCTCGGGCTCTGTGGCCACCTAGCAATGGGCAATGCAGCAAGATGGTCGCTTCCACCCGACCGCTCGTGATCACACGGCAGTGAAGATCCATTGCTCCCGCGGAATGGGAACTCGGTGGAATCTTGCAGGCTTCTCTTTCACGTGGACAAGACGGACTTGTCGTTTGCAGAAGCCACTCTAGCTCTAGCTAGCACCAATCGTCTCTCATGCAGTGACGTCAAGGACCGACCCGATTTCCGTCAGCATTCGAAGTCCTCAGAAACCAAGTGCACGGAGAGACGAGATTCAGTGCTGCTGAGAGAGAAATCAATCTTCCCCGGCATTGGAAAGACCTCGAGGGCCGAAGTGAGTCAACGCCCGAGCGTAGTAAGACCCCAAATCCACGTCACTCTCGTCCATGTCGAGCCATATCGGACTCGATCGCTGAGCTCTGCAAGCAACGGAATTCAAGCAAGTGCAATGGCAAGAGACGAGGTTTCACGAGACGAGACGGGACAAGACACGACGTGGAAAATGCACTTGAATATCAATCATGGTCGCCGACGACTGACCTGCTCATGAACGTCCGCTTCCGATCGCATTTGCAGACTAAGGTTGGGAGGGCCAGATGACCGATGTGCATACTCCCAATGGTATCCAGAAAGTCAGAAGGGCCCGAGATCTACCGCTGCGTGACATCAGTCGCGCCATCTCTGGGACAATCTTCCGCAATGCTGGTGCTCATTCAGAGTATGCTCACCGGTCACATAGACTTCCCATCATACCCTCTCGACAAGACAGAGAGAGCGAGAGTTCTCTGGATCTCAAAGCGGATCATTCTGAAGAGGCTGCTGGATTGTTGTACAGCTGAGAGGAGTCGATGTGCAGCCGCTGTTATAGTGGATCTAGAGTACTCGAGACGTAAGTCCAGGGAGCAGTCTGATCAACGAGGAGACGTAAGCACGAGGCAAACGAGGCAATCACGGGGTAAAATTCGCCCAAAAGCCGAGCGAGCGCTCCGATCGAGGGGGAGAAAGCCAGACCCACAGACCCACAGACGGACGGACGGACGGACGGACGGACTGCACCACAACCGGCGCCACCCTCCTCGCGCTGCTAGAAAAGATCCCAAAAGGTAAAGCAGTTGTAAGAAGTTTAGAGAATCAAGTGATGTCAAAATTATGAACTTCGAGTCTATCCTGATCGAGGCTCTCATCCTTCGACGTCATTGCTCGTCGGATCCATCGGTCCTCACCCTCACGCGAGACAGCCTCGGCGGCAGCGGCAGCGGCAGCAGCAGCAGCAATATCTTCTGCAGCTCGCAGTGAGACACTCAGACGCTGGCTTCTGCTGCTTCCTGGACTTTAAGCTACTTATATAGCCGGCCCGCCGGCCAGCTACGCTGGTCATGACGGCTCCACTACGCCGAGACGTGCAGTTTGACCAGCCAAGTCACTGGAGCATTCTAATAAAAGACTGACAGACAGCATGCCGGAGCCGTTACGATCCGAGCCAGGCAGCCGACCCAGCCCAAAGGTAAGGAAGAAAACGACTGCCGCTGCAACGATCGAGATCCACTTGTTAAGTCACGTAAATTGTTCCGACGACGGTGGACACGAGTGAAAACGCAACCGCTGCCAACGAACGCCCGCTTCGGAAGTCAATGCTTTTTATAAGGCTTCGCGAGATCGAGGGTTGGGGGGATAGATGCAGCGCGTGCGACTGAATCCGAGCCTCTCTCTCTCTCTCTCTCTCTCTCTCTCTCGACTACCGAAGAATCAACCCATCGACCCTTCGAGCCCCTTCTGAGCTGCAGAAGCCGCATCAGCATCTGCTCCCGCTGCACAGACCGGATCCCACGCAGCCCAGCCCAGCCCAGGCCCGTTCGCCCGCGGGAGCAATACTAATTTAAGATCACCACAAGTCACGACCTCCTGCTCGTCCGTTACGTTCAAGAAAAGCCCCGGCCCCGCGCCTCGGAGAGCCCGAAGCGAAGCATGCCAGCGGACGATGAGGAGGAGGAGGAGGAGGAGGTGTTCCAACTTCACTCCGCCTCGCTCGCGGTCCGATCGGTCAAAGGCGCTGCCCCGACCGATGAACAGTCAACCGCAACATGATGCATGGCGCACAGCCGCGCGGTCGGTCGGCGTCCCGTGCCACGCAGGGACGCGCTCGGGGAAGAGCAGAGCAGAGGAGAGGAGAGGAGAAGAGGAGAGCGAGAGGCAACGGCTCTGAGACAAGAAGACACGAGGAGGCGGGCGGGCTGCTGCTGCCGGTGGCGGAGGAGGCCCGGAGAGGAACACTAGGCCACTGCCTGCGAGGCGCTGCTCCCTGAAGAGCAACCAGCACCGCAGCGGCTTTATATACGATGCGAGGAATATGGCGCGGTTACCAGGGAGCGCGAGACATTACGAGGTGCACAGTGCGGCTAGATCCGCTTTCCGCTCTGACAGCGGACGCGCAGGCGCCCCAGAGGCTTTTATACAGGCCGGCCAAATCTCCCAATGGCTGAGCCCCGGGAGCGGACGGAAGGAAGGACGGACGTACGGACGGACGGAGCGACGGAGCGACGGAGCAGAAGATGAGGACGGGCCGCTCTTCTTGCAGAGGGGCGGCACTGTTGAGGCGCGGGCGAACAGGGAAAACGAAAGCGGACAAATCATTAATTGCCGCTGGGGAGTGCTCTCCAATCCTTCTGATCCCCGCCCTGACGTGCTAAGTTCATGGCCGGCATGCCACCTCGAAGCCGATAGACGAAAAGCCGAACTCCTCCACAACCACCTCGGCATGCGCAGGCAGGCGCGCAGGCAGACGGTCAGGCAGGCGCGCGCAGGCCAGCAGCGGCAGCTCGTCCCCCGCTGCGCCTGCTCCTGCTCCCGCTCCCGCTCCACCGAGCCTGCCTGCCTGCCTGCTTGCCTGCTACTGACGCTGCTGGCTGCCCGAATCAGGCGCCGCCATGGCCAGCCAGCCGGCCGGCCCATCGAGCGGGAACCTCAATATCCTCCCGTCTGCATCTTCACCCCAACCGCAATGCCACTATTACAGCGTTTGTCCGAGGCTCCGTCTCCTCCTCGCTCGCTCGCTTGCGCAGTTAGTCTGCTCCTCGCGACGTGACAAACAATTTGGCGAAAACGAAACATTCATGGCAACTGTGCAGCACCACCCTATCAAGCGAGTGGAATGCGTTTCTCGCAGGACCGGATCAGTACCTGTGAAGGGCGGGCGAATGGTGCTCGAGTGCCGGAGGCAGAAAATCAGACCCACCGCCGTAACTTTTCTTCTGCACGGGAGTCGACGAATGCACCGCTGATTCATGCCAGGAGACTGTACAGTCTCACACGACACGAGGTGAGAAAGCCCCCCCTCCTGAATTGCCGACGAACGACGATGGATGGACGCGGCGCTGCATACACGGGACTGATGGAGGTCGTCCGTCATAAAGTGACTGAGGGCGATTGATGGATTAATAGATATTGTATGCCGCGGGGCGTTCGGCTTTGACGATTGATATTTTGGTAACACAGAGCAGCTGCAGTAGCAGACGGGCAGGGGCAGGGGCAGCGGCACAAGCACAAGCAAGCAAGCAAGCAGCAAGGTAACTCACAGCATCATATCATATCATATCATATGGTTGGAAAAGAATCCACAACAGCACGCTATCTCCAAATATGTAAAGAGAACAAGACGACCCTGCTTTTGACCATATCTCAATTCACTGTGCCCTTCTGGAGTATGAGCATAGCTCGTTGTCTTTAGCTCTTTTCCCTTTTGCTCTGGTGTGGGGCTTACTGTTTATAGGAGGTTGTTATGACCAAGCACCTATTGCCCTGTAGATGGGAATCACCACAAACAGTACTATTACTTTACATTAAATTAGTCCTAAGCCCCCCACACATATATAGTCCCAACGAATACAATTGTGTTATAGCTGCAGATTGAATCATGTGCAAGCTATGGCATCGAGGACGTGAGCTTCCCACCCCATCATCCTCCTCTTTGGCTTTGGGATACCGTAAGGCTTGAGGTCAATTGCCTATCTGTTTGCAATTGTACATTTGACTCGAATCATCCCATTCCCTCGCAATCATTGTGCCATCAAGATTCATATGGTCACGTCTCATAGCTTGGCTTACCTCACCTTATCCTGGCTTCACTTGACTCGACTCGACTCGACGCCACTCCTACACCAGAGGAATACGTCCTCGTCTCTTGAGGAGATGCTACCGCTACCACCACAACATGGACATAAAGTGTTACGCCGTTATATGTAAGGTCACTCTCGTGTAGATTGCGAGGGCTTGGAATACTTCTCTCGAGCTACATCTTCTGAACACTCGATATTCAAGTTCGAGATTCGTTCTCGTTTTTATCCCTTCCCTCGTCGATGGAGCAAATCATCTGAGGTAGCTGCAACTGCTCAAGTTCATAGTCAGTACAGTACAGTAGATCCAATTCGTGAAGCGTGTCAATGTTGAAAATAGGCACCTGATTGAACTACACTGCTCCATAGGAATTTGTGAGCTCTAAATATAGTCCAACGATAAGTGCAAGACTTGGGGCGTAAAGTTTAACGGCCAGCACTTACCCCAGCATCACTGGAGTCGATACGTGCGAGCTTTTGGATGAGTACAAACGACTGCAGTGTGATCAGAAGTTCTACCACTCGGTGTGATTACTTACCCCTTGAAGTACGAACTTCGTGACGAAATGTGAACATCACTTCTGACCTTTGCCGAGATAATTTTATCTCGATTTCCCACGAGCCAAATTCTAGCACATGTAGGGTTTGGGTGGAATATTACCATTTCACAGGACTTATTCAGAAAATAAACAAGTTCAATTACATGCTTTTTAATTCACTACTTTGGCCTCCGCTGTGCTTGTGCTACTCGACCATACCAGATTCAACGCGTTGGGGACTCAGGAGCCAACGATTCCAGAACCATCCACAGCCCCATCCTATTTGCGCAAGTCAGTAGTTCAATCCATACAGCCCGATCATTATTCATCATGCAATTATCCAACGAAACAATGTAATGATTCTAGATAGCCAGTATTATTATGCTGTTTGTACCTGGTCTTATATGAAGGTCCCTCGTTTCAGGGAAACAAGTTGGTGATATATAATATTACCTTTTGATCCTTGGAGTTATTGATTCTCAGCCTCATCATGGTCTGGCTGCTATCGGTATGTTTTGAAATCCAGATGTACAAATGGCTGTCAATCATCAATAATAGCATGAGTGATAAGTAGTACTACAACAAAAGTTCCAAAAGAAAGCGTCCAAATTTTGCATCTTTGCAGATGCTAAAAGGCACACATTCTCATCTTAGTCCTTAGGAATAGTATGTCAACCGTACCTAAAGAAAAAGTAAAATAATGAGTTGAACATTTAGGGTGGACCTCGGTAGCCGGACAATCTTCAAGAATCATGATGAGATGTACAAGTGTAGAGAAGACAGATTTTCTCGAAGGTTTTTCATGACATATGGTTTCATTCAATAAGCCAAGTGGTAGGCATCATGCAGCATCATACTGGACCAATAGCGCTGATATTCTAACCCTAGATTTCTAGCATGTAGATACTTACGGTTAGGGTAAGTGAGATACACATTAGAATAAAAAGTTCTCGTCGTTTGCATCGTTTCAGAATAATACAATAAGCCAATCACAGATCAGCAGGAAATGCATTGTTTTAAGATCCTATGCTTAGAATACAACGAAAGCATGCACTCTCTGCCAATCTGTCCTTCGTCTGTAAACCCCACGGTAGTCTCCAAAAAACGAGAAGGGCTTATTCCAGAAGGTAAACCTCGACAGTAGGGATGCCAAAATATTCACAGATACCACTTTTCATCCATGTCGGTGAACAAACAAT